TTTTTTTTTTTTTTTTTTTGTATCAAGGATCGAGCTCAGAACTTGCACTTGCAAGGCAGATGGCGGCACTACTGAGCTATATCCCTGGCCCGAGGATAGATTTTTTTAAAAAGAGCTTGAAAGATCATCAATCATGAGTCCATTTAGTAGACTCAGTACTCTATCATAAATTTCTGTTGAATGGAAATTTTTATCAAGAAATTATGTAACTGAATTATTATTTTTTTATATTAAAGATTGCAAACATACATGACAAGAAATGGAGATACTAAATAAAAATTTCAAATATACATATATATGACAGCAAAAAAAGATATGAAATAAACAAAAATTTATGCAACACAGACTGATAATCCAAATACATTATTAGTTTGATACGATCTTCAAACGTTGTGTTCTTTTTCATTTTCTTTTCATACAATATTTTGAAATATTGTATTTACAAATAAAACAAAGCTACATATTATAGTTGAGAAACTGTCCTCAAAATTTTAGGATTTATAAACTCCTTGGTTGTATTAATTTGATAAATATCATATGCTTGTTGATTGTATCACTTACATTTTCTAACAAAACTTCCCACAGAAAAGAAATACACATATCTGAAATCCAAAAACAACTAAGAGTTCACATTTTTAAGATCAGATTTTTCTGTTTCTTTTTTGTTATATCCCATACTTATTTTCATTATATTTTAATAAGCATGATAGACTTTAACACCAACACATATGTAATATTCTTCCCAAACAAGTGACTATGAATTAAATCAAGCATCTAATTTAGAGAAATCATGAGGTTGCCAGAGAAACTATCGATATGCCAAATGTGCAGAATCCTACCACATTCATGACCATGTTCCTCATTAAATAGTGCACACATATGTGTAAAAACATACTCCCCACACGTATACACAATGGATATTTTCTACAATACAATATATACTTTGGTATAATAAAACAGCTCAGTGATGTGTGGAATGTTTGTGATTTGTGTGATTTGAGAAAATATCATCATCAAATATCTTTGAGGTAGTTGGAGAATTTGTAATATTTACCAGATGCTGAATGATATTAATGATTTATTATCCAT